GAAAAATTTAAGGGGGTCTGAATACTTTCCGTACCCACTGTATTTACATGCATAATTATTCAGGTGCACGTGTAATAACTTGCGAAAACTTGAGGCTGCAGCAGCACTTCTTCGTCGTCGTCTCGTCTGATGCGCTCACTCAACCAAGCTTTCTCACCGCTTTGTGATATCACAAAACTCGGAAAACCAGCGCTGTAGTCCAAACGAGCCGTTTGCTGTAGTTCTTGAAAAGGGATTTTTAAAAAACGAAATATCTCCCTTTGGAGTGGACTTTGAGATTTGTAAGGTTGAAGATCTTTTTTATGCCCAAACATACACGCTGACTAAAATTCAAAAAGTGAAAAAGCATAATAGGACCCCTTTAAACAATAATAGGGCCCTATAAAATGTTTTTCTTAATTTTTCTGGTAATCAAATGAAGGCATAAAACATTAATTAAAGTTTTCCTAATCAAAAGAAAAGAAATTCTTTCCATTTTTGGCAAGTGCTGCACAACAGAGGTGTACTGTTAAAATTAAAAAGAAAACAAATGTGATTTTTTCTTTTAAAAATAACGTTTTATTAATATTTATTAGTAGTAGTAATAGTATGGTTGTTAAATTGAGTATCAAGACTGCACAATATATTTCTGTCAGTTTCTTCACGTTAAACCAAACTTATATTTTGACGGGTTGCCGTGAAGAACTTGCAGCTGCTGTGAATGTGATAATGACGGTAGTTTTCTCAAATTAAATGGTAAAATGCTAATGAAGTAATTCTCAGAGCAGCTGGAGATGATATTCATGTGTTCATATCGTCGTATAGTGAGATGGCAGAGACTGAAAACAGCACTTTAGTATGTGTGTAGTAAACAATACCGTGCGTCTGAGACATCCACCATTCATTCATTCATTGCTGAAATCATAGTGTCTTATGCGTGATGTCTAATGCTTCCGAAGATTTGTAGTATTACTATAGCATTTCACCGGAGCATTGCAAATCTTTATTCTTAAGATTTGCTTTGTTCTTAGTTCGTCAACCGTATCTCCGCCATGATGAGCACTGAATGAATGACAGGCTTTCCCTTGTAACATCATGCAAGGTAAATAAGAGGGTGACATCTAGTGGAGAAGACTAATGATAAGATTCACGTTAATCAGATCTTGTTAAATGTTTGCTGAAATAAATACCGGAAAAAAAGATTCACGGCTTTTGAGAGACTTCATTTTTAAAAACTGGTTAATTAAAAAATCTTTTTTTTTTTTTTTTGCCCAGCCCTATTCTGCATGTTACATTTATTTGAAAGGCAAAATTTCCTAAAAACATTTACAGATGTTTAAATGTTACAGTGTCCTAATGTCCTTATAGTTGAGTTTTGAGCTTCTGCTGTTTCCTGATTATCACAGTGAATTTGCTTTGACACAAACTGTATTGTATAAAGCGCTGTACAAAAAAAGGTGACATGACTCATTGTTTCGTTTGTGTTTGCAGTGCGAGAGGTTAAGATGGATGATAAAAACCCCCTGTCTGAGCTACAGGACATCAGTGACAGTGAGAGGAAGACAAACACACCAGACTCATCGATGGGTATATCTCGTTCTCTCTCTCTGTGTGTGTGTGTGTGTGTGTGTGTGAGAGAGATGCAGGTTGACTCTGTGTTTGTTTTGTCAGGCTCTGGATCTGAGGATGAGGAAGGTGAGGAGAATGATGAAGAAGAGTCCAGCAGTCAGAGTGAGGCAGATGAAGAAGGCGAGTCAGGATCAGACTCTGGGGGGTCAGAACACAGCGAAGGTTAGTAAAAACACACACACACACTTCTGCTATAGGTCAGTCTGTTTGTTTGTCTCTGTGGTTTTGTGCAACGAAACAACCAAAAACAGTCCCAGAGCATCTTACCATGCCATAATTTATCTGGCTGGTCTTCTGGTTAGATAAATAAAAAGGCTTCAGATCATTGAATGACCAGTGTTATGTTCTAGTCAAGTCACCATTATTTCTCTAGTGCTTTATAGTGTCAAAGCAGCTTCACAGAGACAAACAGGAAAATAACAGAATAAATTATGCAAACCTAATCAAATTCTGCTGTAAAGCAGCTCTAACAAGACAGTGTCAAATTTCAGCTCCAGTCAGTTTGTGTTTATTCAGTTCAGTTCAATAACAGTTCTCAATACTGGTTCTCCTCTGGACTAAGCAAACAAACACAGAGTGGTTTATGACGTTGCATCATATGTTGTAGTCTGTCCAGCGGGTTGAAACATGAGGTAGATCTGCTGTTTAGCCGGTAGCAGACGACAATAAATCAAAAGACACAGAGCCAGTGGTTCAACTAAGTCCTCCTTTTACTCTCGCAAACTTCAGTAACACACAAAATAGAGCACAAGCACCAGCACGACTTCACAACAGAGATGCACATGATATTTAACAACACAGATTGCAAACAGAATGCAATTGGTTAACAACCACAACAACCAGTCTCATCCAGCTGTCTTAATATGAACTGGACAGAAGGGAAACTTCTGCAGCACTGTTGGGAATGATATTTGATTTCCATTGTGTTCTGCTGTTATTTCAGCTGAAGGTGGCTGATTTGAGTAATTGTATTTTCTTCTTTTTATATCCAATTGTATATATTTATTGTTTATCCGTGCAAATCAGGGTCAGAAATTTACAGGTGCTTCAGCCAAAAATCCCACCAAAATTCTATAATTAAATATAAAATACCTGTCCACTGTTTTTGACATGGTTAACCACCAGATCCTCCAGTCAACCCTATTGGCAAAGGGCATCTCAGGAACCGCACTCCAGTAGTTTGAGTCTTATCTCTCAGATAGGTCCTTCAAGGTAACTTGGAGAGGTGAGGTGTCCAAGTCACAACATCTAACTACTGGGGTGCCTCAGGGCTCAGTTCTTGGACCGCTTCTCTTCTCTGTCTACATGCCATCACTAGGTTCTGTCATTCAGAAACATGGCTTTTCATATCACTGCTATGCTGATGACACTCAACTCTACCTCTCATTCCATCCTGATGATCCGACAACAGCTGCTTGCACCTCAGCTTGCCTACCAGACATTTCTTGCTGGATGAAGGACCATCACCTTCAACTCAACCTGGCCAAGACAGAACTGCTTTTGGTTCCATCAAACCCATCGTTTCATCACAATTTCCCCATCCAGTTAGGCACATCAACCATAAATCCTTCAAAACAGCCAGAAATGTTATGATTGATGATCAGCTGAATTTCTCAGACCACATTGCTAAAACTGACCTGTCCTGCAGATTTGCTTTATTCAACATCAAGAAGATCAGGCCCTTTCTTTCGGAACATGCTTCACAACTCCTTGTTCAAGCTCTTCTGTCCAGGCTGGATTATTGCAATGCTCTTATTGGTAGGATTCAAGGCATTAATGTTTGTCTATCTATCTATCTAAAAAAATTAAAAATTAAAAAAACCTTGATAAATGTACTGCGTCAGCCTAACCGAGACTTGGCATACAGCACTTACATATTATTGCTCTCTTGTTATAGTTTTTTATTTTTGGCATTTTATGCCTGCTCTTTTGTTGGTTTTTGATTGCTTCTATTGTCCTCATTTGTAAGTCGCTTTGGATAAAAGTGTCTGCTAAATGACTAAATGTAAATATAAAATGAACAAAAATGCCCCTCAAAGTAGGGGTGGGTGATATGGCAAAAATATCATATCACATTTTTTTTTTTTGTTTTTTTTTTTGAAATATCACGATTCATGATTTTATCATGATTCTTTGTCATGTTGGTTTTACTATTTTGCAAGTTGTCTGAGAATAACAGCCAAACTAATTTCCCTATTATAAAGACAAAGCCTTTCAAGGTAACAAAATATAAAAAAGAATGGCAGATATTTAGGCCAAAGTGGGCAAAGATAAAAATCTTCATGTCATTACTTTATCTTTATTAAAAAATGAGAACAAAAATACTCATTACAAATACACATAATATACAAATAAAACAAAGTGTTTAATTTTCAGGTACATTAGTTGTATTTAGCAGGAGCATTCAAGAAATTGAATGAACAAATATAAAAATAAAACGCTATATAGATTGATTCCTATTAAAGCAACTGTATTAAAGTTTTTCAGTCAAGAGTAGTGAGTGATTTTTCTGTGTTTTGTTGTTTTATTAACATTAAAGGAATAATTCACCCAAAAATAATTTTTATACCGTCATTAACTCACTCAAAAGTTGTTTTAAACCTGAATGAGTTTTTCTTCTGCTGAACATAATGCTATTTTGAAGAAGGTGGAAAACCAAACAGTTGGTGGTCCACAGTGACTTCCATAGGATTTTTCTCCCTACTATCAAATTCAATGTGGACCGGCAACTGTTTGGTTGCCCACATTCTTCAAAATATCTTCTTTTGTGTTCAGCACAAGAAAAAAATTAATGCAGGTTTGGGACAAAATGTGAGTGAGCAAATAATGACAGAAATGTAATTTTTGTGTGAACTATCCCTTTAATGACAGTCGGCAGCATGTTTAGTTATGTCCCTTTAAGAGCTGCACGCATCTAATATACAGGGTCTGTGTGTGTTGCATTTATTTAATACACAAGTTTCACAATTTGAGTTGAATTACTGAAATAAATTAACTTTTCCACGACATTCTAATTTACTGAGATGCACCTGTATGTAAACCTTGTGTGTTAGACAGTATTAGTGCAAAAGAGAACTTGGTTCAGTAATCAGGAGCTGTTTGACAGGGTTTTTAGTGCGTTCACTCAGAAAAAGCGCACGTCAGAACAGCACGCAAATGAAATGTTTAACCGGCAAGGCTTTAAATCACATACAAAAAATGTACTTTTGTGATGGTGAATAAGTGCAGTGACCCATGATTGTAACTCTACTGCCGAGTTAACACTGATGTGAATGTATGTGGCGTTGCATATTGATACGGAGGCACCAGAACTGCAGCTGATAGATTGTGCGCTGTAGCACCATACTACGATATTTCTTCAAAAGCAGACCGTGGAATCAAAAATATTCACATCGCACACCCCTACCCCAAATTCAAGATATGGGCCAAAAATGCCTCTCCACAATTAACCTGAATCTGTTGTGGTTAAAGTGAAATGTAAAAGTGAGTGATTGCGGCATTACCTGCATTACCTTTAGATCTGCTCACATTGCATTTTGAGGTTTTATGCATTGTTTTTTTTTTTTGCAATGTTGAGCATTATAACCATCACACTTGTGTTTATTAAGTGCATTAATATTTATGTAATTTATTGTGTTTGTATTTTATCTTGCTTAGGTGCCATGAGTGATGAAGAACAGTCAGAGGAGGAAGAAGAGGACCGAGAGAATGGAAACCACATTCCTCCCAGTGAGCATTTCATCAACAGTGCTTTATTTTTTGTGAATTTAAAGCTTTGCTTTGATATGATATTTTAGTGTTGTCAAATATCTTTCACATTAGTCTGGTTGTGCTGTGTCGTGTTGTTGTGACAGTTCCAGAGTCCCGGTTTGATCATGACTCGGAGGTGAGCGGTGAGGAAGAGGAAGAAGAGGGAGCCGAGGAGGCAGGAGACGTCACCCCACAGTCTCCCTCTCATTCAGCCACTCCTGAAGACAACTACGTCCCCGAATCACCGCCCATCTCACCTGTAGAGCTGAAGAGAGAGCTGCCCAAATACCTGCCGGCTTTACAGGTACACTCACTCGCGTACACCTGTCTGCTTACTAGGGTTGCAACTAGGCATGGGCCGATTACCGGTTTCAAGGTATACCGCGATTTCAATATTTCAAGGTTTCAAAACCGTTCCTGCGAAATGCGCTGTTTTTCATGTCTTCTCAAAGACTGAAAGTGTAGGAATCCCTCAGGTTGAGTGCAGTGTAGAGAGTAACACTTTTCCTCCTGTTGGTGCGAGCGAGCTTCCCCTGGAACTTATGTGATCGGCAACCGGCCGTTTTTTTGTCTTATTGCAAGCAACTCGTCTCTGTTCTGGACTTGCACAAACTGCGTTGCAATGCAATTGTTTTCCAAAATGTCATTTCTGTGAAAATATGAAGTCTGTAAACGCCCGTTAACACAGGCCAGAGACGCTGAAGACCAGAGCATGTGAGCGAGTCTTCAGAAAAGTTTACGTGGTATTTTCTTTTCATCTCGTCTCTGTATAGTTCATATTAAAGCAGTGTTTCAGTGCAGCGCTGCTTTGTTTACAGCGGTATCCAATGAAACACTGTATCTGCTGTTCCAGAAGCGCCTCCTGCTGTCAGAGAGAGGGTCTGCGTCTCATTCAGAGCTTCTGCTGTTTGCTTCGTTCAGGCATGTAGTATAATTTCACAAAGCTAGTCAGAACATTCTGTTTTTGCTTCAAAATGGGTTATTATTAAATCAAATTATGTATATGAAATTATATAACTAAATGATACGTGTATGAATTATATAACTAAAATTAAATAACTGTAATTACAGATTTAGGTTAAATAAATATGTCAGTCTTTATTTTTCTTCTTTTTAGGAAACAAATCAAAGAAAAAAAAACAATCTACTGTTCCTAATATTCTGTATGTAGCTCAAAAACAAATGTGTTCAGCGGGAATTTTTTATTTTTTTTTAACCCAGTCATTTAAAAACAACACATTTTAGAGCTGTAACGACAATACCGTGATATTTTTGCTTCAGGTTATCATACCGTCAAAATCTCATACCGGCCAATGCCTAGATGCAACAATGCAGTTAGTCCATGGTTCAGTACGTACCTCTGTTTTTAACCACGGTTTTCAGTTCAATTCTGATAGCTTGGCACATCAGTGTTTTTTGCAACAAATTAACAACAAAAAAACTCCTGTAAACCTCTGCACACTGGAAAAGCGTGGATTATAATGTCTGCCTAACATTTTCTTTTGAGAGAGGTTTTTTTTTTTTACATTTATAAAAACTTGTTTATCACTTTCGAGTCCATGAGTTCGCCTACCAGTGGAATGAGAGGAGCACCGCTTTCACTCTCAACCAAACTAACATTACTAGCCAGAGATGGGCACTCGAGTTAGTGACTCGGACATTTTTATAGACGTCAGACTTGACTTCGGACTCGAACTGAAATTACTCCAGACTTGACTCGAGGAAAAGGACTTGTGAATATTTTAAAAGCATCTCGAGTCTTTTATCGTTAAATACTTATATAACTGATTTTCGAAAGGCGGACCGCATCCGCTCCCCGGCATCCATCAGAACCGCGAGCCGTAACACAGCACCATTTTAAGTGAACAGCGCTTCAAAACAGCGGGGAGGATCACATAACAAGCGCTCAGGGTCGTTTTTGGTAAATATCTTTCAACGCTATATCCTCTAGTATTTTTATCAAAAGCCAAACGCGCTTTATTCAAGCCCGTTTAGCTCCATGCGCTTTCTCTCTCTCTCAGGTTCAAGAGCTGCGGATGACGTGGTTATTATAGCAACAACAGAAACACAAAATTATAGATTACTTTCACTAAAACACAGCAGAAAACAACAATGCTGCAAATATAGTTATTTTTCTTACTGTCCATTTATCTATCTATAACTTATGACTGACTATTTAAACCAGATGTGACAAGATGTTTCTTATCTACATTTAGCATCACTGCAAAAATGTCAACAATTCTGTGTTTTTCTGTCAATATGGGGTGCTGTGTGTACATTGAGGGAAAAAAATTAACTTAAATGATTTTAGCAAATGGCTGCAATATAACAAAGAGTGAAAAATTTAAGGGGGTCTGAATACTTTCCGTACCCACTGTAAATAGAGGCCTAATTTTTATTGGGAAAATTGAATGGCTGCAATATAACAAAGAGTGAAAAATTTAAGGGGGTCTGAATACTTTCCGTACCCACTGTACATAGAGGCCTAATTTTTATTGGGAAAATTGTTGTTAGATGGCTAGGATGGAACTTAAACTTTGAAACTGTTAGTTATCTTTTCTGCTTAAGATGAGAACGTTTTGATTATTGTAGCTACATTGTTTTTAGTAGGCTAGATACTGCTTTTAAGCAAAATATTAAAATAGTAGAGATTTCAGGAGGAAAACCCTGAACAGAAACAGTATTTGTTGTTACATGGCCTTGCATCTAAATGTAAAAATACAATACATGTACAAATTTATTTATTTATTGGATGTACATTAACCTTACATCTTAACACCAATTTTTTTTTTTACAAAGCAGATCATAGATCATATATTTTGTCTATAGCCTATAAAACAGCTTTGTAAATTGGAAGATTTCAATACATGAGGATTATGAATGGGATTTTTTTAGTGAGCCATTAAATGACTTGAGACTCAACTCGGACTCGTGACCAAAGACTCAAGACGTGACTCAGACTCCAAGTTAAAGACTTGTGAACAATTCTGTTACTAGCAAATCAGAATGTTTTGCTCTTATAAACACGAGATGCGAATAAAAGTATTCAATTGCAGAGTCGCAGCCCTGATGAATGGAGAAGCAAGACACGTTGAAAAGGCTGTGAGGCGCAATGGTCAAAGATGTCCATCTAGTGCATATTTACATAGAAAAACGAATTAAAAAGCAACGGCGCTTTGTTAACAGCTCAGAGTAATCATGTCATCTCCATAAGAATATGATTGCCAGAACAAATTTACCGGGATTTTTTTAAAAGGTCCTGTTCATACATAATCTCTTAATGGTAAATTACCGGTAATTTAGCAGTGCTGTATGTGTGAAAGGGGCTAAACTCTTCCTCTGCATATGCTGTGAATTTGAATTGCTTAACATTCATCTGGGAAAACAGTGTGCATTATCTCACTATATTTGCAAGGTTAATCATTTATAAACACAGGAGAATACATCAACCTATTTCTAAATATGCCATTTATTGAACATCGCAATTTCAAAATAAAAGTTTCTAAGTTTGCATGTGGCCAAATATTAAAATTAAATAATTTAAACATTGTTTAATCACGCTGTAAAGTGAAACGTCACCACTCCGTTGGCGCCCCCTGCAGGTATTTGTTAATACCTTATGTACTTAAGTTGGTTATGTTCATATTATGTAAAAGTATTCAATTGCAGAGTCGCAGCCCTGATGAATGGAGAAGCAAGACACGTTGAAAAGGCTGTGAGGCGCAATGGTCAAAGATGTCCATCTAGTGCATATTTACATAGAAAAACGAATTAAAAAGCAACGGCGCTTTGTTAACAGCTCAGAGTAATCATGTCATCTCCATAAGAATATGATTGCCAGAACAAATTTACCGGGATTTTTTTAAAAGGTCCTGTTCATACATAATCTCTTAATGGTAAATTACCGGTAATTTAGCAGTGCTGTATGTGTGAAAGGGGCTAAACTCTTCCTCTGCATATGCTGTGAATTTGAATTGCTTAACATTCATCTGGGAAAACAGTGTGCATTATCTCACTATATTTGCAAGGTTAATCATTTATAAACACAGGAGAATACATCAACCTATTTCTAAATATGCCATTTATTGAACATCGCAATTTCAAAATAAAAGTTTCTAAGTTTGCATGTGGCCAAATATTAAAATTAAATAATTTAAACATTGTTTAATCACGCTGTAAAGTGAAACGTCACCACTCCGTTGGCGCCCTCTGCAGGTATTTGTTAATACCTTATGTACTTAAGTTGGTTATGTTCATATTATGTATAGGCATATTACATTATGTATTTTAACAGTGTTGTTCAATAAAACTGTAATTACTTGGTTTTGATATTTTATTTGCGGCAATTATTATTGCATTAGTTTATATCGTTAGTTTATATATAAATCAGAAATAGCTTTATTGCCAAGAGCTTTATTGCCAAGTAAGTTCTTTTGTCGTAAGTAATGCTATTACTCCATCAATTTATACTAGCATAGTATATCCAGCGCTCCCTGAACGCAGTCTCTGGCTTTTTGCCAGTCAAGCACAAGCACGCTGCAGGGACCCGTCTAGAGTAATAATCAGAATCAGAAAGAGCTTTGTTTGCACATACAAGGAATTTGTTATAGTGTCACAAGCTTCCAGTACACTGAGACAACAACAACACACAGATAATAAAAATGAGATGTGAATAAAATACACATGCATAAATATAAACCACAAAAAAAGAATAAATTGTATGTACAGGTGTGCTATAGATGGAATAGGAATAGAATAAAATAAATAGTAGGGATGTACTAGGGTTTAGGGTGATAAATAAGTATAAGGTTATTGCACATACTGTACTTTAATTGCACAATGGGAGAACATTAACTGTTCATGAGGTAGATTGCCTGGGGAAAGAAACTGTTCTTGTGCCTGGCTGTCCTGGTATTCGGTGCTCTGTAACGCCGACCAGATGGCAAAAGTTCAAAAAGGAGATGACTTGGATGTGATGGATCCAGAGTGATTTTCTGAGCCCTTTTCCTCACTCTGGATGTATACAGTTCTTGGAGGGTAGGCAGGGGGGCACCAATAATCCTTTCAGCAGTCCGAACCGTTCTCTGTAGTCTTCTGATTTTGTAGCCGAACCAAATCAGACAGTTATTGAAGTGCACGGAACAGACTCGATGACGGCTGAGTAGAACTGTTTCAGCAGCTCCTGTGGCAGATTGAACTTCCTCAGCTGGCGAAGGAAGTACAACCTCTGCTGGGCCTTTTTAACAATGGAGTCAATGTGAGTGTCCCACTTCAGGTCCTGAGAGATGGTGGTCTGAAGACCTGGCGCACATCATCCTCACTGATCTGAAACGTAGGAGTGGGGGAGAGGGGGGTTGCAGGAGGTGTTGATGGTTGTGTGGAGAGATGTTCAGAGCGGGTGTGGACTGGGAGTTTCAAATCTACAGTAGAACTCGTTCAGGTCTTCAGCAAGTTGTTGATTGGCTTCAGTGCTGGGGGATGGTGTCTTGTAGGTGATGTCCTTCAGGCCTTTCCACACTGATGCAGGCTCATTCGCAGAAAACTGGTGTTCTAGTTTTTTAGCGTAGTTCCTCTTGGCCACTCTAATCTCCTTATTCAGTGTGTTTCTGGCCTGATTGTACAAGACTCTGTCCTCCCTTTTGTAGGCGTCCTCTTTGGCCTGACGTAGATGACGGAAGTTTTGCTGTAAACCATGGCTTATCATTGTTGAATGTTAAATGAGTCCTGATAGGGATGCACATGTCTTCACAGAAACTGATATATGATGTTACAGATTCTGTGAGCTCGTCCAGATCGTTGGTGGCTGCTTCAAAAACACTCCAATCAGTGCAGTCGAAACAGGCTTGCAATGCCTGCTCTGTTTCGTTGGTCCACCTCTTTACAGACTTTACTACAGGTTTAGCAGATTTAAGTTTATGCCTGTAGGTCGGTATAAGATGAACCAGGCAGTGGTCAGAGAGTCCTACAGCTGCTCTGGGGACCGAGCGATATGCATCCTTTATTGTGGAGTAACAATGGTCCAGTATACTACTGTCTCTGGTGGGACATGTAATATGCTGTCTGTATTTTGGCAGTTCACGGGAAAGATTTGCTTTATTAAAGTCCCAGAGAATGATTAAAACAGAGTCCGAGTGTTGTTGTTCTGTCTCTGTGATCAGATCAGCGAGTTTCTGTAAAGCTGAGCTCACGTGTGCTTGCG